TACATCTATTTCAAATCTTTTGGAATAAGAGAGCAGTATGTTTTTATGCCATTATCAACAACATCACATCAACTTATTTAAAGTATGTTCAAAATTGCTACACTATAGTACTAATAGTAATAGCCACTAAAGATTACTAAAAAACATTTTCTCATGTGGATTATTTGTTGCAGTTGAACTTGTGAAAATAATTTAAGTTGCAGATCATACCAACATGCTGAATAAACTACTTAAAATCGAATTTAAGCAACACTTTTTTTTTTTAAATTTGTGAACACTATTCATAGTTGTGGCGCTGCCTACAAACACGTGGAATTCGTAACATGTCTGTCAACGATAAGATGGACGAAAGTGAAAATGATATGGAAACAGATTCTGGAGGAGAGAATTGTTCAGAAGATCAAAATGCTTCAATCAAAACATATCTTCCAGGACAAGCAATAAATAATGACGAAGAACTCGTATGCGATGAATCAACATATGTATTATATCATCAAGCACAGACAGGCAAGTTAATTTTTAATGTAATTATTTAATTTCTACTATTATTATAGTATTAACTAAATAAAGTTATTACTCAATAGTAGTACTAGTAGTGGTACTGTTAGTGCTAATTTCTTAATTAATAGCAAAAAGTTCATAGTTTCTAACAATTTATATTTACATCGACCGTTACGGAGATATTGTTACTAGGCTTGAAGTCCGAAGCACGAAGATATTTAAACTTTAGCTTGAGATAATAAACAATCGTTCCATATTTAAAATTCTAACTTGTAAGGCGTGTTTAACTTTAGGTCTAATTAATCTAGTTTCAAGTTAAATGTTTCTCGGGAAAGAAAAAGAAAAATACATCATTCCTTTTTCTTCTTTTTTCTAAATGGAACGCAATCACTTTCAAGTTTAAATCTCTAATGGTCTAATGGATTTATTGAGTAGTTTTAACCAGTCTAAGTTTTACGTTATTAGCAACCCTAATTTTATAAAATAATTTAATATTCATTGTCGGATTATAACGTACTCGTTTTTTCTTATTACATATATTTCAGTCGACACTATCACATTAGACTTATCACTTATTGCAGTGCTTACTCTCTCATTATAATTTTTTTACCAAAATATCTTTGTTTAATTGTAAAGTTAAGAGGTTTGTGGCAGTGTCAGTGTTTTCTCCATCAAACTCTGTTCCACTGTTCAGATTTTTTGTTCATTGAAAAATACTACTTTAAGGTAGGATCAAACTCAAACTTCAAAGTAGTTAATGTGAAATTTTGATTGTTTTGAATTCCAACAAATGTAGTTCAAGCCTTTTCTCAAGGATGCTGTAATTGTTCTGAGTCTAAAGTGGCATGTCTTACTCTTTCACAGATATTGAGGAAGGGATAACTTCTGAAATTATTGAGTCTGTTAAGCTAACAGATTCAAGAGGCGATAAGCAGAAAATTATCTAAATTCAGAAATCAGTGGTAAATAATAAACAAAATATTTATTCGTGCAAATAATTTCTATGTGTGTGTGTGTAAGTCTTATGCTAAGGTACAGGATAGTTCTAGAAACGTGGCGTGACACTGGTCATGTGACTTCGCATAATAAAGCTAATTTGTTTTGAAATGGTGCAGATCGTTTTCAAGTTGATGGAAGTACAGTGGTTTGTAAAAGTTAATATGAGAGTTTATCTCCCTTAGAAATGTACAAGTATAATATACGTTTTAAAATTTTATAAAATAAGGAGGGATCGATTTATATGTAACCTAGCTGGCTATCTGTGCTCTGCCCACCACGGGTATCAAAACCCAGATTCTAGCGTTGTAAGTCCACAGACATACAGCTGTGCCACGTGGGGGGGGGGCAGTAATGTAGAAAGTTTTAATGCTACAAAAAGTATTGAAACAAGAAAGTTAAAACTACAAAAACTGAATTACTTGAAAATTAAATTTCTGTATCACTATTTTGGCTCAGACTAACATAATTACAGTGATTTGCCAAAGTAGAAATTAAAAAAATTAAATTTTAAGTAACCCAGTTGTTTAGTTTTGACTTCCTTGTTTCAATAGTTTTTTGTAAAATTAAAACTTTCTATATAGCTAGGTTACGTATATATCGATCCCTACTTGTTTTTATAGAATTCTATATTTTTCTATCATGCTTATTTTTTTCCCTTTATATTTACTATATTTTTGTACACCAGATATACCAAGCGTGTGGCGCGCGTATACCCGATTCGAATTTATTACTCATCAGGATCTATACCAACCTACTCTTAAATCTAAATATATATATATGTGCCCAAAGTAGCGCATCGTCCATTTTATATTTTCACTAGCATCCTTTTTCGGTACAAGAGAGGAATCATTGGGACCCCAGACAGAAGAGTTATGTGAAAGAATTGAATCGATAAGGTTCGTCGTTTTTTTCTGTACGCTTGTCTGGAAAAGTCACTTACTTAGTTATACGAAAATTCGTTGAAATATTGACCTTTTGATTCACTCCATGAACACGTATATAGCAATTTAGGTGACCTTATAAGTACAATAGGTTTTAGTTTTGCTCAGCCAATACTCTGAAATAGTCATTGTTAATATTCAGACGTTTCAAAGGGTGGTTTTAAGCGGGAGATTTTTATGGCCGCCATTTTGTTTAATCTCGACCCATACTATTCAGTACTACTGTACTTAATGATATACAATATTGATTATTGTTAATTTAGGTTTTCTGGGATTGAGGGATACTGAACTAAGACTTTGGCTCTAATTTAACAATGCGATATATCACAGTCATTATACCTATCTTTTTCTAGTACAGACAAAATTATTATTTTTTTCTACTTGGGCAGTTTAAGGCAACTCCAGATTGGGTTATCTGCTGTATTCACTGCGGGGAATCAAACCCTGAATTTTAGCAACGTAAGTTTACAAACTTACCGCTGTTCCACCGGGGGACACTTCGACAGTCAGTTAGTCGGATAATAGTTGAGCATAAATGTCGTTTAGTTAAACTACGAATGCTCTAGCATTTACTAGATATAGGGTAGTCTGGTATATAAAAAAGGGTGACAACGTGACGGGAGAAGAATGTGTGTGTGTAGACAGTGAGTAATTGATCTGCAGTCAGCGAGTATTATTGAAGTTGAGCACGTTCGTTGTTATAGCGTTTGTTTTAGCGCGATTGTTGAAATTAAGTGTATCGTAAAGTTATATTCGGAAAGAATAAACAAGTTTTATTAAGTAAGGACTTGTGCTGCTAAAGTTTCGTCAGAACGAAGTTACGGAAAGTCAGAAAATCAATCAAC